CCTCGTCTCATCTCTCCCAACTCCCCTCTTCAGAGATCGTTACACGAACCCTAGAGTGCCGCCTTCAGAACCTTGCCATCTCCGGTGGCGGCGCCAGTCCCAATCAACACCAGATCAACACCCCAGATTCCCGTTCACCTCCCCGTTCCGAATCCTCACTCCTTTTCTTTCGAATCTATCTGGAATGTCACGAATCTTGATTCAAAAGAGAAACTCTAGCACCGCCTTGTTTTCTCCGGTGGCGGCGCCACCCCCAACCGGCTCCAAACGTACACCCTAAAATCCTCGCCACCTCCCTTTCCCATATCCCTAACTAATTTCCCTCGAATCCTTTGGCATCTGCTCGAATTTCAAATCTGAGTGCGAACCCTAAAAACCCAAATCACTTTCTGTTGAATCTGTTGGCATGCATGACCATAGGCTTCCGATTTGTTCGAGTGTTCAAGTTTGATTCAACGTAAATTGATGCTACTCATTTGTTCTTGACTAAGAACAAGTGATTAGTATCAGTTCCGTTTAAATCAAGATGTCCAGCGTTATTTCGAGTTTAGTCGGTAAGCTTTCTTTATTTTTCTGTCCATTTTGTTATTTCACCTCCTACTCCTCTTCTTTTTCTTCTCATTTTTCATGAAGTAGACCGAAAATTGACCAAGGCTCTGAACCTATGTTTCTTTTTCTAGATTGATTCATATCTGTATTGGTTCCGGCTGTTTTTCAGTTTTCCTTTCAACTTTTAAACGTTGTTTTTGGTAAGATTATTTACTCGTCATGCTTAATTGTCACTCATAACTTTAAGTTTCTGGTTTTTTCTAGTCGTATGATTAGTTTAATTAGATGTTGTTGATTGGGTAATATAGTTAATTCTAGCTCATTATTTGGTTTAAATCAGTCATTTAGTTTAGATTTTGGTTTTGAAATCATCTCTTCTTCTGCTTTTCATGAATTACCAAATGGATTTTCCGATTAGTTTTGGGCTTTAAGGTCATTTCTGACCCATTTCCAAGGGAAGCCCACTCATTTTGGTTTAAGTCTTGGGTCAGAATTGACTCATGTGGCCTGCTGTGGTAATTGACAAAGTCTTAAAGGGTAGATTAAGAAATCTAGGTAGGGAATCTCTTAGTAACTGATTGAGGCAGCTGCTAGGAAGGTGCCTTTAGAACTTTACTGAAAATACTGATTTTAAGCTAGGAGTATCTAAGCAAAAATAAAAAAATTGGGGAAGGTTTTAAGTGCAAAAAACTGAACTATTTCGGTAGCCCTAGAAGCTTGCCTATAAAGGCATAGTTACTTGGGGTTCAATTCAGATTTAGAGATTAGAGAGAGCTAAGAAATCCAAAATAGAAAACGACTGAAATTTCTGTAGAAAACACTGTTCCATTAAACTTTGGCTCTGAATCAGAAGCCTGGTTTACTGTTCGATTGGGTTTGGTTTTGAATTATTTCAAATTAATTTCTCTGGGTTCTGCTGGTGCTGATTCTTGATACTGTTCTGCTGATACCTCGTTTCCTGCTTCATTTGTTTCATTTCCAGGTACATGACCTTGTAACCCCTTTGGTTGTGAAGTGAATTTGAGGAATGACATGTTGTGAAGAAATGAAGATCTTTTGATTGTTTTTTTTTTGTTGTGAAGTAAATGAGGAATGACATGAGTATTTTCATGTTTGGAAGGATTTGTAAGACAAGTACTTGTTTCTCTTACTGGTCTGTTTGCAGTTAGTTTACAAAAATGATCCATATTTAGTATGACCATATTCATTCATATGGTCAAGCTCTGTTGTTTTTTTCAATCTTTAATTTACCATTTTAGTTCTTAAGGGTCAAAGTGTGTTTGAATGAAAAGGACAAGTGCTTGTTCCTAAAAGTGAGGTTCATGATCGTTATTCTGCTGGTGCAAATTTATTGATACTTAATGTAATTCAGATGCATGTATTTGTATAAGAGTGAGGTTTGGCTTGTCTAGATATGCAAAGGCTTTGTTATAAGCTAGAATCAGACGAGTATGGGTCAATGTGGTACGAGTCCAAAATCGAACCAAGTGTGTTTTTTCATGTTTTGCTCATCATGTCACTTCATAGAGTCTCATTTACTACTCATATGGACTAAGCCAAGGGTTAAATAAGTTGGGAGTCTCACGGTTGTTATGTAAAGCTAGTTAACAGATTGATGTCAAGCATAATGAACCAATGAGTGTTTGGTTTGGGAGTATTTGATCAAGTTATTCATCTATTATTCTTTTTTTAAGACAATTATAAATCTGGAAGTCAAATGGAAATTTATGCATATGTTTTAGACTCAGATCTAATTGGATCTTGTGTTATTTTGGTTTACTGCAAATGAATTCTCAATTCAATGCATGTATGGTACCGTCAAAAGGGCTTGATCGAGGTTCTCAATCTCGTTTCATTGGGCCGGCCTAAGGCCAGATTTCTATGGCCCAATTCACGTGTGCGTGTAGTCAGCATTTAGTGGCTTCGAAGTTTTGGCTTTGTGTATCGCTTCCAGGCCCAAATGTTGGAGTGGATCGTGCATTATTTCCGAGTTGGTTTTTAACGTTTTGGGTAGTTACAATCTTAATGGCCTTTTAATTAATCCATCGTTTCTTTATATTGGAGGTGTGCCATAATAACCAATTGAATAAAGTACAGCCCTCCGTGTTTTAGTTTGGATTCCTTTTAAAATGGAATTGAGATGCTCCGCGCCAAATAAAATCTCCAATGTGTGGCCCTCATTTAATTATTTCTTTTAAAATACTTAGAACTCGAGGCGTGCCATTTAGTAAATTTCCATGGCCCTCGCAAAGTTAAAATGCGTAGTTGCTTTAGGCTCGTATTTTAATAATATTACCTTCCTAAACTCGGGTGTGCATTTCATGTGACCCAACTCTAAATCTTACAATGTTGAATAAAATGTGTTTCGGATTGCAGGTGCATTTCATCTGGTGCGATCCGATGACATGTTTTAAATGACGTTAAATCTTCTTTAAAATTAATTAAAAGCGGTTAATAGTTTAAAATGGCATCATAGGTTAAAACATGTATTAAAATCAGATAATATACCAACTATAATAGTTTGAGCGACTGTGCTAGAACCACGGAATCCGGGGGTGCCTAACACCTTCCCTCGAGTTAACAGAATTTCTTATTCAGAATTTATGGTTCGCAGACTTCAAAAGGAAAGTCGAAACTTCCTCGATTTGGGATTTAAAATAAACCAGTGACTTGGGACACCAATTAAAATATTCCAAGTGGCAACTCTGAATAAAATTGAAATAATAATTTCATTTCGAATAATGTCACTTAAATTGGAAAAACTCCCCTATATCCCTTGCGGGTTAATAAAAAGGTGGTGTGACAACCACTAAGATTTCAGAAAATGGTTCGTAAAAATGGAGGCATTCCCAAGATGGGCAGCTCTAGTAGAAACACTAAAGGATACGATTGTTGTCACAAGTGCAGAAAGCCAGGACATTTCATCAATGATTGTCCTCTTCACAAGCAGGACCATTACAAATACAATGCTGACAAGATGGTTAAGAGGAACCTGGTCCCCGATAGAAAGTTTAAGAGAAGAGATGTCGCTGATAATATTGTAAAGCAAGCTCTGGCTGCCTGGGGAGATTCCTCTAGTGAATCTGAGGGTGATGATGAACAGGCATACACATCCATGATGTTCGTTGAAAGCAAAGCTGCAAAATATGATTCCATATTTGCATTGATGGCAAAATCTGATGAGGATGAAGAAGATAATAACGATGAGGTAAACTTTCTGGACGTTCAAAGAAATTTGAAGTCTTATTCTAAAAAGAAACTGGTATCTTTGGCTAATATTTTAATTGATGCTTATCACAACCTCATTAGTGATAAAAATGTTTTAACTGAAAAAATCAGAGAGTTAGAACAAGAGAGAGATGATCTGGTGGTTGTAGTTGTAGATTTGAGGGAAACGGTAGAGGAGACAAAGAAAGAAAATATCCTCTTAAAAAATTCAATAGAAAAATGCATGAACTCCTCTAAAGGAAAGGAAATGGCAATTGAGTCACACCTTAAGATTGAAAATAAACTCAAAAATATAAAATTGAGTCTTGCTGCTGAACTTGAAAAGAATAGACAACTTCAGAAAGATTTAAACGAGGTTTAAAATGATTTAGATAAATCTGTGAAGTGGACCTGGTCCTCTGATATAATCACTTCCATGTATAAAAGTAATTGAGGGAACATGCAAGAAATTGGGTTCCACAAAGAAAAAGCCCCCTTATAACCCACATAGCAAGTATGTTACTGTACTTGATAACTACTTTGTACTCATTATGGTAAGACTGGTCATTACAAAGATTCATGTAAAGCAAAGTTTCAGTCCCAACAGAAAAATAAAGTTTTTGTCGAAAACGTTTCTACGTTTCTACGTTTCAGTCCCAAAAGAAATGTGTGATGCCTGCATGGAAAATAAAAAAAATGATTCACCCTTCCCTCATTAAAAAGGACCTAAACTTGTTTGGGTTCCTAAGACTAATCTCTGATTCCCTTGTGTAGGCAGTAGTGAAAGGAAGCAGTTAAAAATGGTACATGGATAGTGGCTTCTCTAAAAAATGACTAAAAGAATGAATGATTTTCTTTCACTTGTGGCCCTACAAGGTGGGAGTGTATCCTTTGGAAATAAAAAAAAGGGATACATTCTGGGAATTAGAAATATTGGGAAAACATTCTCTCACTCAATTGATAATATGTATTATGTGAATGGCTTGAAGTATAGCCTGTTGAATGTCTCTCAAATATGCGAAAAAGGAAACAAAGTGGAGTAATTGTCAAAGTCTTGCACTGTCACCAATCTTATAACTGGTGAAGTGGTTCTAATTGCATAAGGTTTAAAAACATTTATGTTGCAGACTTTAAATCTCTGATGGTGGTGATCTTACATGCCTAGGTACCGCTGATGATGATACTGAACTATGGCACAGAAGATTGGGACACGAAAGCTTCACTCTATTGGACAATCTGATCAAGAAGGGCCAGGATCATGGGTTGCCGAAGTCAAAGTTCAAATATCACAAAGTGTGTCATGCATGTGTGAAAAGGAAGCAAGCCAGGTCCTCATTCAAGACAAAGAATGAAATGAGCACCTCAAGGCCACTAGATCTTCTTCATATGTATCTATGTGGACCAATGAGGATGCCCAGCATAAGAGGAAAGAAGTACATCTTTGTTATTGTTAATGACTATTCAAAGATTCACATGATAAGAATGATCAAGATGGAGAGTATTCAAAGGTTCCCGGAGAAGTCATTGATATGGAAAACGGGAAGGCATATTTGATGAGTCAGGTCAAGGAGTCTAGTAAAAAAGATGCAACAGAACCTCCAAATAATTCGGAGGAATGTGATCCCTTCATCACAACAACTAAAGCAGAAAATATAGTTGTTGATGTTGTGAAAGGCACACTTGATGCTGAGCAGAGAAGTGGTACTCACACTTCCATGGATGCCAAGGTTGGATCTCACATGGCGGAACCTGGTCCTTCTCACCCTAAGACTCAGGTGTCTATATGGAAGAACAAAAGCTCACATCCTCTCCAAAATGTCATCAATCCTCTGGATTCAGGAATTCAAACTAGATCAAAGACAAGAAACATGTTTGCTTTCTCAGCCTCCTTGTCTCAAATTGAGTCAAGAAATATCAAGAAAGCATTGAAAGATGTTGACTGGATTGCTTCCATGCAAAAAGATCTTCATCAAATTGAGAGGAACAACATGTGGCACCTGGTTCCTCGACCCTTAGATAGTATTGTTATTGGAACTAGGTGGGCATTCAGAAACAAGCTTGATGAATTTGGCAATACAACAAAAAATAAAGACATGCTGGTGGTCGAAGGACTTAATCGAAAAGAAGGAAGAACCTACTGATTATGTAGATCTATGTTGATGATATTATTTTTGGTACAACAGATGATTCCCTATGTGAGGTGTTTGCAAAGCTTATGGGGAGCAAGTTTGAGATGAGTATCATGGGGAAACTGAACTTCTTCTTAGGTGAAGAAAACCTCTAAGGGAACGATGATAAGTAATGGGAAATACATTAAGGAGCCTCATAAAAGGTTTGAGATGGAAAGAACAAAGACTATTGATACTCTCATTGCTACTGCCACTCGTCTAAACATGGACGAACCTGGTTCCCCTGTAAATGAAACTGTGTATCGGGGTATCATTGGATATTTCTTGTACCTAACATCTAGTAGATATAACATTGTGTTTAGTGTTGGGTTGTGTGTTAGATTCCAATCAAGTCCTAATGAATCTTATTTCAAAGCTGTCAAAAGAATTCTGACATATCTCAAAGGAACGCAGGACCTGGTCCTCTATTATCCCCCAGGAGAAAATCTTGACTTGATTGGGTATGCTGATGTTAATTATGCTGGTTATCTGGTGGATAGAAATAGCACATTTAGCATGACATACTTTTTGGGATCTTGCTTGATTTCATGGGGTACAAAAAAATTATTATGTGGCCCTCTTTATTGCAGAAGCTGAATATATGGCAAATGACTCATGTTGTGCTCAACTGCTATGGATCAAGCAACGATTGAAAGACTTTGGTGTATTCTCTGATTATGTGCAACTACTATGTGACAATACAATTTCCCTTAATATGGAAGAGAACTTGGTCCCTCGATGATTCGCTATGAAAGGATGGTAAGGTGAATTACTAAAAAGTACTTTCTAACAACTTCAAACTCAATTCCATATTGTTACAGATAAACACATATCGCAACTACAGGACAAATAAGTGGATAATGACATTGCAAATTTTTGGAATGATGATGCTCGTATTTTCAAAATTTATCAAGGAACCTGGTTCCTATGACTCGGGTCAGTAGTTCCTATTACACTCATATGCATTTTGAACTGCTAGTGTGCCATATCATTAATTGCCTCCACTTCTTCT